CCCCAACCCTTCCCAAACACCAAAACACCATATCCAAAGCAAACCACCCAAAACAGAAGAAAACAGAGGCGCTCAACACCCCCCCTAAAAAGGCCGCCCACTCCCCTCCCAACCCCTCCCCGTAGGCGTCACCCCAGCCCTAGGCGTAACAACCCCATACCTCCTCGACACCCTCCCCTCATCATACCTCCTCTCCTCATCCCTCACCCTCAAATCCAACTCTTTCCCCCCATCATCACCAGGTAATAAATCAGGAACATACTCCGGATAAATACTCTCACTATAAACCACCACCCTCTCCCTTGTCCTCCCCCTCTCCTCCTCCATCGACCCCCTACTCGTCATTGTCGTAGTCCTCGCCAACCCAATAGCAATCTCCTCAATCTCCCTCTGCACATCACTAACCCTCATAATCCCATTCCTCGTCATCGTCTGCTCCTCGCTCTCCCTCGGGCTCGAACTCCGGAGCTCCTGCTGCTGTTCGGTCGTCGTGATGACCCTGGTGATGATAGGCCGTAATTTCCCTCCTCTCCCCCCTCTTCTCGCCCTCCCTCCTCGAGACAACTTACTCCCGCCACGTCCAAACTTAGCCCTGACACTCCTCGCAGGGGAGGACGATCTATTAGCCTTGTCCCAACCAACCGATTTCTGCCCTGATTCCAAATCAGGAGCTCCATTGGTTGTCGCAGGGGCGATGGTGGATCGACCTAACCACCCACCCCTCTCCCTCCTCCGAAATATAGGCCTCAACGCCGGGGCAGAAGCGGTAATAAGCGCCAGGTTCGTCTCAATGGCAGAGGTGACAAACCCGACGTTCGACGTCGGATCAGACAGCGCAGTAAGGTTGAATAATCCCTGAACCAGCAAGACGAGGCGGACGACGGAGGTGATGGTTACTCTTTTTCACCACAACCCAGGTCAGCACACAAGATAACCAAGTGAGAAGAGGGAGGTCACATACAAAAACCCCAACAAAAAAACAAACAACAACGCCATCTTTGTCCGTCTCGGTATCTTCAGCTTGGAAAATATCCAAATCGGCGTCCCCAAGATCAGGAGGTCGGTGACGATGTTGATTACGGCCGTGCAAGTGTATAGCACCCGGCGGTCAACACACCTACCACCCCTAGTAGTGAGAACCCAATTAAAGGCGATGGGTAGGCATTGAAACGTGATAGCAAAAAAGACAGCCACCATCTGGGAGATGTTGGCAATGTTGAGCCAGAGCAGAAACCGTCTGACGCCGTCTTTTTGGCCGAACAATCGAGACAGGAAAATAAGCGCAGATGACTTGACGAGGGCGAGGATGGGGTTGTACAATATCTGCACGGCATAAGCCCAGATAAGACCCTGAGTAGGGTCGTGGGGTGGGACTTGGCTGATGGGGATGCCGATGAAGTTTGTTTTGATGACTTGGACAGAAAAAGAGTCAGTTAGTGGTTGTTGCCATAGCAGGAAAATAGCGAGGGGACATGTACAAAAGAAGCTGATGACCGTCTCTGTGACCGACATCAGCATGGCAATGCAGACCAGCCAATCATCCATGGAAAACTGGCTGCTGGCCACCCTGCCCGCCACCCTGACGGAAACCACTATAAAAGCCAACACCGGAAAGAAAAAGTTGATAAAGAGCGCAAAGATCTGTAGCGAAGATGGTGCCGGCGAAGTCGGCAGGGCAAGAAGTGAAGAGGCGTCCATGACGCAAAGCAAGGTGGAGGTGCTATCTCATTACAATCAATGGGATATAAAATGTGGGTTGAATCTCCATTAGGAGAGTGAGAAGAAGACCGCCAAAAGAGAGACACTGCTGAATACTCAAAAGGATAGAAACTCGAGATATCAAAACAGGACGGGATATTCCCCCAGATATAAGCCATCGACTTCCCCCCAGTCTGAGCAGAGACGGGATGTCGACGACGTCAAGGAAACACATCATGGCCTTCTTCCGGGCAACACTGTGCCGTGTCCAGCTTCTCTCGAATGGCTCTGGCTTCGGTAGAGGCCGGATAGTGGACTGGAGAGGAAAAAGAGATGCTGTACGTCGATCTGAGAGTGTGTCTCGTCTCGTCTCTTGGTGCGACTCACATGCAAGTTCCCGGCCGGATAAACTGTCTGGTGTATCAAGATGGACTCTGCAGTAGATCTCGCCAGGCAAAGGTGAAGTGGTGAAGGTACCGGCTAACGGCCGGCATAGTTAAAAGTCACGGGCTGAACCCATCTGTTTCGAGCTGGGTGGCAATATCGGACATGGCCGCTCAGTGGTAGCATGACAAGAAAAGAGATATGAGATCAACGGTCGAGGGTCTCATAGTTCCCGAAGTCAACATCCAGTGTTGAAGTGCACATGTGGTGCCGTAGCCACCGATTTATTTCTCGGTAGATAAAAGATAGACAAACCATTCACCACTCACCCTGAGCCTTTGACTGTAGGATATGGAGTCTTCCCGACCACACCAGCGGCTCGGATAAACATGGCCAAGACCGGTCCTCACCCTGACGGAGAAAGCCCCGAGTGTAGGATCCAGAGAAACCATCGAGCACAAGGTTGACAAGAGAAGAAAGAACAGAGAAGACAATCTACTCTTCCAGATCGTCTGAATATGGGGTGACGTTACGTCGTCTGATTGCGGCGGTGGCTGATCAAACAGCGGTAGAAGTTCAGTCGAATGACTCTCAACAGGGACCGGGCTGTCATGCGAAGCAGGAAGACCACAAGAGCACTCTGGCGAGAGAAGTAACAATGATCGGCACAGAATCTGGGGAAATCGGCAGTTGCCAGGACCTGTCTGGGTTCTGGACCATGAGGATGGCGGATAACAGTCAAAGTTAGATGGAGGAAGGCTCTTTCTCAAACTCGCCAGAATTGCGGCTCGATGGCTATGACAGGATATTTTCGGTCTGGCCAATGAGATCTCTTTACTATGTTAAAGCATCCAGATATGGCAAGAGGCAACGAGGCTTGAGAGTGGCTTTCAGGGGCAGAGGAAGGAGTGATGGTGGGGGGGAGACGCCTGATCTGGTTGGCTCGCGACTGCCTTTCTTACCTTTGGCTGTTTTTTAGCAGCTTCTTTGTTTGGCTACGGAGTTTCTCAAGATCGTGCCTTCTCACCTCATGCAGGGACGTGTGCAAAACGATAAAGGGAGGAAGACGTCAACGCACAGACCGCATGGCATTGACCCAGATCTCCTGTGTGGGGGAGAACTGCCGGCAAGGGGTCGCATCCAGAGAAAAAGAAGGACTCGGGACGTCAACAGTCATCCATCTCATGCGTTGGAGAGTCTAGGTTGCACAGCTTCCGTGTCTTGAGGAGGCGCCGAGAACTGCATCTGAGGTTGAAAGACGACCCCTATATTGCAGGTACGGGCATATATGCCTCCATCCCATCCCAAGCAACGTCGATGTGGTCTGTGCGATTGATGCCGCGGAGGTTCGTTCGTCCCAGAAACGACGTTGCTCTGGACCATACCGGCCAGTTTGTGTCGAACAATTTAGCCAACTCCCACCGCTTCAGCAGCCCCAATAGCAGTGAGCTTGCGTCGACGGAATCTGATGCGGCCGCTGACCCTGAACGCACCGCATCCAGAAGACTTCTATTGCGACCTCTCATCTTGTCCACCTCACGAACCGATGCTCTGGCAACGGGAGGACACACGGAAATCATCTCCTCCGGCTGCCGTCTCCGGACGGTGTGACAATGGCCGGAAGTGACTAGAAACCGAGATTGATGCTATTGGTGTTAAGCAGAATGACTCTTTGAGGCTCCGGTTGTTCTCCAGGTTGGTCGTGTCCGCTTGTCCGGGAACTCGTATTTCGAGATCATATGCGTCCCTCAAGTAACCGGCCGAGATGTTGCGGGTCTAAACGGCGGATATCCACAGTTGAGGATGCAAGGGGAAGAGGAAGGTCGTCTGTCTCGTCCGGTGATTGTGATCTCTTTACCTTGACACGCCCTTACATCTCGGAGGCAGAGCAACAGCGGCTTACCCATTGCCGCTCGCGCGATGGTGTCAAGATCTGGCGAAAGGCTGTGCTTATCGCTCGCTCCCTTTGAATGCTCTCGGAACGAGGTGCATATCGAGTCGTTTGACCGAGGACTTGCCGGGAATAGTAATAAGCTGAGAAAGCTGCAGTTGGAAGCTGTGTGCATTGCTGACAGCCCCCCTTAGGGCGCTTAAGAGAGATGTTAAACCCCACTAACCCCCAGCCATCTTGTTTAACTGATTCAAGGAAATGTTGGATCTGGAAAGCCAACAAGCATCTCTAGAAGCCGTTCCCATGTTCAGATCCCCCGGATTTGCTCATAGACGTCCGCTAAATGAGCGAAATCAAGACTCGATGCGCCTTGGGAGCGGGGTAGAGATGCGAAATGGTCGTCAGGAACAGGGAAGTTCAGGCGGGGCCTCCTGAACGGCTGAAACTCCACCCAACCAAACACACGGATATAGGCAGACGTTGCCCTGACAACGGGCGGGAGCGCGAACCAGGATTACGAGGTGCAGCGCTTTCTGCAGGTGATTCCTGGAAACAAGACGCAGTGTTTCGCACTTTGCCGTTTCCTGTCTCGCTCGACTTTCATTTTGTTCTCCTCTTTTCTTTCTGACGACGCTTTCCCCGCGACCTGTGAGCAACAAGAGCTGATCGACCGGCCTCGCCGCAAAACTCCACACGATCAATCCCGTCTCTTTTCATCTCGACATCTTCACTTTTTTGCGATGCGCCGACGCTGCCACTACTATTCCCACCAGGTACAATAGCGACTTTTGTAAACAGCTGCAAGGCCACGACACCCCAGGCCAACTGCTGCCGCTGCACGTCATTCTGCTCTGCATTGCGCTGGATGGCACACCCCGCCACGACCGACATCATCTGTACACTCGTTACCACAACACAGCAGCATTACCGACTGCCCCTAGCAATCATCTCCACTGGAGTCGCTTCATCAGGCATCCGATCTACAACCCACTGCGCATCCTGACGACAACCTCACCTCCCCCCCACGATGGACACCAGCTATCTGGCCCAGCAGGTCAATACAATAATTGGCCAGCTGCATGGCCTGTTTGACGAGATTGGAGTCTCCAGCCATGAGCGCGAGTCGCGAGAGGCAGAGGTATGCGCATTCAATTGCGGCCCGATCGCAGATGTTCACTAACCAAAATCACATCAGCTCTTCTCTGCGCTCTCCGAGGCACTCAACAATCAAGTGCGACTTGTCACATCTGAAAAGAAGGGGATGATTGAGCAAGCGCAAAAAATGATGACCACCATCCGGCAAATGGAGGCTTCCCTAGACGACAGCACATCGCGCCGCTATGAGGACGAGGACATGAAAATCACTTATCCACTCACAAGGTGTCTCAAAGTTCTCGAAAAAAAGCAAAATCAAGTCAGTCGGCTGCATAGAGAGCGATTCGAACAGGTCAAGAGTAAGTGCCTCACAACACCATGCCACGTGTGTGACTGCAGCTAATGATGTGACAGCACTTGTTCAAGCGCTCGAGTCTTACTCGTCACATCTTGAACCATCATTTGTCAAGATTGAGCTGCCGCCCACCGCGCCAGATCAATCAATTCCTCCAACGTTTGACTTATCACCCAAGTATGTGGACAAGTTGGATGCTGAGTTTACTCGTGTGTATGAGGAGTACATGCACCGCGTGGAAACTGTCAAGGGCTTGGGTGAGAATATCATCCAGCTCTGGGCTGAACTGGGAACCCCCCAAGCGCAAACAGATAATGCGATAGTGAAGTATTATCGCGATGCCCCCGAGCAGCTTGGTCTTCACCAGGAGGATCTTACTCGTCTGAAGGCCAAGAGGGACAAGCTTTTGAAAGAGAAGGAGAACCGCGAAAGACGTCTTAGAGACCTCAAAGATACTGTTGAGGGTCTTTGGGAGAGGCTCGAGGTTGATGAGGCGGACCGTAAGGCGTTCCTCAACAGCAACCGCGGCTGCGGAATCCGGCAGATTAACGAGTTCGAGGAGGAACTTGCGCGCCTCAATGAGCTGAAGAGGCAAAACCTTCACATCTTTGTCGAGGATGCTCGTCTGAAGCTTCAGGAACTTTGGGACACCCTGTATCTTTCTGAGGAGGAAATGCTCGAGTTCACGCCAGCCTTCTCCGATGTCTACAGCGATGCTCTTCTTGAGGCCCACGAACGCGAAATCGTTCGGCTCGAGGTCCTCAAAGAGCAACGAGCTCCTACTCTGGCTCTCGTTGACAAGCACAAGTCCCTCATTCAAGAAAGAGACGAGCTTGCCGCTTCAGCCCAGGATTCTTCCAGACTAATGATGCGCGGACAGAAAGGCGAGAGACGCGACCCAGGCAAGCTACTGCGCGAAGAGAAGATGAGAAAGCGCATCGCCAAGGACCTCCCCAAGGTCATCGCCGAGCTCCGCAAAGGCCTTGAGAAGTGGGAAGACGACTACGGCCGACCATTCCTTGTACACGGAGAGCGCTACCTGGATGTCATCGAACTCGAAGATCCCCCCAAACCGACCCCCGGCCCCAGGTCGAAGACACCAGCCAACGCCTCGGCAGCGCCCACCGCTGCGACCCCGGGCACCTCCAGGTCAAACAGCACCCTCTCCCGCGCCAAAAGCGTAGGCAGCCTGAACAAACCGAACCCGCAGCGGAACGGAAACAAAACCCCCACCACGGCGAGCACCACCACCACCACCACCAAACCAACTCTGGCCAGGGCGGCAACAGTCACAGCTAATACAGTCATCAGCAAGGGCAGTCCGATCCGCGGAAGCACGGTTAGCCACCCCCGACCGCCGCTCTCAAACCTTAGGAACGGAAACAACTCCCCGGAGCGACCTCGAGCATCGGATTCGGTTAGTAGTGCGACTGGAAGTCTGAGGCTTGTCATGAGAGCGCCACCGCCGAAAATGAGGGATTTGATGCCGGCTCCCGAGCTGAAAATGGAGGCACCGACGACGATGCCATCTTTTAGGAGTTCGATGAAGCTGGGGTCGAGTGTCAGCATTGTGCGGCAGGTCCAGCCCGAGGATGTTTATGACGAGAGGGACAGGTATTCTTCCCAGAACAGCAGCGATAGCAGGCCGAGCAGCAGGGAATACACCACCATTTCGAGACAGACGAATCACACGGACGATAGCAGCAGGCCGCCGACGAGGGAGTATAACCCGCCATCGAGGCAGAACTCGACGAGGGAGAGAGAGTATGATTCGTCGTCGTCGTCGACGAGGCAGAGCTATGAGCCGCCGTCGAGGAGTCCGCTGCAGTATTCACAGTCGGCAGCAGCACAGCAGAGGCAGGTGTCGGACACGTCGACTATTGTTAGCGGGGTGTCGGGGTCGGAGAACTGGGAGACGTATGATGATACGAGCGAGCCGGAGGTGGATGTGTCCGAGGCGTATTATGCCAAGGTTAGGGCGGCGCAGCAGGCGGGGGGGTTTGGGACTATTAGGGGGGTGCAGAAGTTGAGGAATGGTGGGGGGATTCCGCCGCCGTCGTCGCAGCAACGTGCTGGGAATGTTGTTGTGGATGAGGATGGAAATAGGATTTTGAGTGGGGGGAGTGAGTGGACTGATGAGGATGCTTTTTAAGTGAGCGAGAGGGCTGGATTTGGGCAAAAGGGAAGGTTTGGGTTTCATTCGAGGGGTACTTGTTTTATGAACTGCTTTTTACTGTCGGATGGGTTTGGTTCCTGTCTGATGGGTTTCTTCGGTTTTTGCTTCTTTGGCTTTTTCAGCTTGGTGCGGGTCAAAACTTTGTATCAGAAGGGGGGTTCATGTATATTGTTATATGTATTCTTTGATGGTTTGGGTCCAGCAATGGGAAAGAACACGAGATGGGATTGATGGCTGGGAGTAAGGGAATGGGAACACCGAATATGTTGGATGGGAGTTCGGTGATAAGATGGATGGATACCTATTTGTAAATGGCTGGCGTTTGTATAAGGGGGAGTTATTATCGTTTCGATATGCCCTGAATACTAGAGGCTGATCGTCATATATCTTTATCCTTTGGTGCATTAGGTCTGGCATTCTTAACTTTGCAATATATATGTCTATATCAGTCAGATTTATGTGCAGTCGTGACAACCTTGGATTTACGGTCATCAGTTCCACCGTTTTTGCGATCTTCAACATTTTAGCCTTGCTGTCAGCGACAGTTACATCGGTCACCCTAGCGGGCCTAAACTTCTGGAACGCGCCTCTTTAGCGGGGCATCAGTTAGCTCGCTGGAGCCTTACAGAAGACGCGCAGCTCTTGGCTTCAGCTCCCGGGGTCTCTGGCGCGCTTTCAGCAGGTCCCTGACAGCGCGAAAGGGCGGCCCTGTGCTTGCTGTTTCGTCACCCCATGAAACGTATTTACATTCGTCATCAGCCGCACCTCAACCCATTGATGCGAATGTTCCTTTCGGAGCTGCTGTCTGCCTGTTCCTAATCCTTTCCCTCGTACAAAACACACCTCCCTACGACATTGACATCCATTACATTTCCCTTGAACTGATTCGATGCCCCGGGCTGGCAGCTAAGAAGGATAGGTACACCGGCTTTGTCCCGCCGCGCGCTGCAAGACTGAAACATTATCCGGTCCTTAACCGGAGGGGAGGGGGGGCGAAGCTTTACCATTCCACGGGCCTATCGAGATTTAAGAGACATCCTAAATGTCGACCTCACCGACTCGAAATCAAGGCGGCGGTCTCCCTACAAAAAGCGGTACCAACAACAGCAATAATGCGGCTGCTCTCTCGGCCGCCTTGAAGGGCGCAACTCTTGCTTTCAACGCCCAAAAGGCTGTCGCCGCTACGAATAATAAGAACGCTGCTGAGACGAAACAGACGTCGATATCCCCGAATCGAAACACGACGCAGAACAATACTACGAGGACGAGAACAACCGGGGCCGGGGCCGGGAACGGGGCTTTCCTTGCGGCGAATCATGCCGCGAGAGATGCCTCTGTTTCACAGACACGATCGCGGGCGAGTTCGGTGGCGCACAGTGCTTCTGGGAGACTAGAGATTGGGAGGCAGGAGACGGGGGGTAGTTGGAGTAATCAGGGGGTTAGGGAGGATAATATTGAAAAGGATGATGATGGGCTGGTGGCTCAGAGAGTGGCTCAGTATCTACATGCGGGCAGTGGGGGGGGGATCAGCCCGGGTACCAGCAGCACGCCGTTGTTGTCACCACCGGGGGCGGGCAGGAGTAATGCTGGGGATGGCGGGAAGCAATCGTCTGCCTCGTTTATAGCTGCCACGCTCGCCGCCAGCAGGTCTACTTCTCCGATTCCGAACACGAACCAAAAGGCAAACAACAATGGTGTTACCCAGACCCGTCCGGGTAGGAGCAGGGGACATAGCACCGGAGCTGCGAGCGTGTTGTCTATGGCGCCGAGTTTAGGTCCGAAGTCGGTGGATGCGCTGGATACCGAGTCGATAATGCCGACGACGTCTTTGGTGTCGCTGTTTGAAAGCAAGGGTGGGGAGGATGTTGACCCTGTTAAGAAGAGGGACGCGCCCACACCTAGGCAGCAAAAGGTATCACCCTCGCTGTCACCGAGGGGTAGGAGCCCTGGGCCGGCCGGTGAAAGGCAGACACAGGAAGTGCTGGACGAACAACAGACCAAGACAAAGCCTAAACCAAAACCGAAGCCTAAGCCTAAAAAGACGCCCGAGTCTACTGAGAAGCCTAAAGCTGAAGGTGAGTCAAAGCTTGAGCGTCATGAGATAAAGCGTCCTGGCACGCCTCCTTCGAAATTCTCTTCCCCTGCTGTTTCTACACAAGTTGTCTCTCCTCAACCAAGAAGGGTTGCTAAGACGGCAAAACTGGAACCCCCGGCACTACCACCTGCTAGGAAGACCAGTGACAAGAATACGAAAACACCTACTGTTGAGGTTACTGCTATCCGGTCGGCCAGTATGGAGGAAGCCAGGCCTGAAGAGAAGCAAACTGCCAATGTGGTTGAGCAGAGGCCAGTCCCGGCAGCGCCAGTCATGCGTCGGGTGTCTGAGTGCTCAATGTCTTCTGATGACAGCTTCGTCTCAGCATCCTCAGCTCAGCAACCAGATCCGGAAGAAGTTGAGGAACTTACCCCTCAAGAACAAGACAACAAGCCCCAAGAGCAACAACAACAACAACAACAACAACAACAACAACAACAACAACAACAACAACAACAACAACAACAACAACAATCAAAACAAGCACCCAAACCACCTAAATCCCGTCGCCGCCCAGCCTCCTCCCCACCACCACGCCGGCCTTCAGCACCAAGGCTATCAACCCCCAACCTCGGCCTCGACTCCCTCACCAACGCCATCGTAGCCAGCAACTTGGCTTCTTCCCGACTAACCCCCTCCCCATTAGCACCACCCCCCATCCCTCCTCCTTCCAGACGCCATAACCCCCATTACCATCACAACGATAAATCCCACAACGCTTCCCTTCCGCAAAGAACAGTCGACTCTTTGACGCCTCATCGCAGTGGCAACTCCAAATCGGGAAGTCGCTCCCCAAAACGGACGGGAATGCTCACCACCCTCCGGCAACCCCCCACGTCTCTGTCAGATGACGAAGACGCCAGAAGGAAAATGCACAGGCACGCCCACCGAAAGGGAAAGGTGCTCGGTCATCACATACCCGGCCGGAGGAACCACGCTCACCACGAGGGGTCGAGATCGAGGTGGAGGGATGAGGTTACGGCAGGGCAGAGGAGGAGGTATGAGGCTGTTTGGGCGAGCAATAAGGGGTTGTTTATGAGGTCGGGGTGGGGGTTTACCGGTGGGGAGGATGATGATGAGGAAGGGAGGGCACAGGCTGGGACGAAGGAGGCAGAGTTGGTTGTTAATGTTGTGGTGAGGGATATTTGGGACAGGAGTCGGCTGCCGAGGGAGGAGTTGGCCGAGATATGGGGGTTGGTTGATCGGGGGGGGAAGGGGGCGTTGGGACGGGAGGAGTTTGTGGTGGGGATGTGGCTCGTCGATCAGAGGTTGAGGGGGAGGAGGTTGCCCGGGAGGGTGGGGGGGAGTGTCTGGGAGAGCGTGGGGCAGGGGGTGGTGAGGGTTTTGCCGCCGAAGGGGGAGTTGAGGAAGAAGAGGTGATGGTGGGGTTTGATGATGGGGGGGAATATAAGGTGTGGTGTATACATAATGAACGGGGATGAGCGATGATGGGATTTGCTCAAAGGACAAGAGCTATATAGCTGACGTTGACTTTACCTACTTGTTACCTATGTATGTACCTATGTATGTATACGAGGGATGAAATATAGATATTAATGAGCCATGAGGCGGTATAACATAACAAGATGGTAAAAGGGGTGCTTACCTCATCCCATACCCCCTTTCTAGAAACCAACTTTGAAGAAAGGTAGATGAATGATGCTGCCTATGGGTCGCAGTCATGACCCTGATGGTTTTTTTTAAAAAAAAAGAAAAAGGAAAAAAAAAGGAAAAAAAAACAAGTATCGGTACTTCAACCGAGCACTGCACAAACACACAACCTACCACTACACGTCTAACCTCAGGTTACAAGTCGCGGCTTTTCTCCCCAGTCACCCGCCCCTTTTTCACATGCTTTGTGTAGAGAAACCGCGCGAGCGGAAGTCATCCCTCCCGAATGCACGCCCGAAAACCCCTCTAAAGTCCCCTCATTACTGACAACACAACATCATTGGCTACGTACCTCCTCGTGGCCATGCAAGCAGACAGCGAGCGGCATGAACACGGCCTGTCAACTGCATGCGAGCCATGGTGATCAATCTGGGGTAGGTAGCATCCGGGCCGACCTCAACATCCTTGGCTGCTTAACCTCGGTTCAAGTTTATCACTCACTCATTCACTCAACTCCTGATTCTCATGACCAACAAACTCCAGAGTCATCAGTTCACAAGCATGAAATGATGACTGTAGAAAAGAAGACTGCAATATCCCACACTAAGTCTACATCATCCATAAATCATCAAGTAGTGGTAGCAGTATGAAGCAGATTAAAGCTTTCTAAATCCCGATAGCTAAATCCCCCCCTCCCCCCCCCCCATTCATCAGCAAATGAACCATCATCTATTTCCCCTTCCCCTTGTCTGCCCTCTGCTCCCAAGATGGCCGAAAAAAAATCCATGAATGTGCCTGCTAAAATTCGACACATACACATATCCCACACACACACATACACACACAGCAGATACACACACAGCAGATACACACACAGCCCTCCAGCCCTCCCATATGTCCATATCCCTTCAAATTTGCCTGGGGCCTTGGAATCCCCCTCCCACCATATACCCTTTTCTCTTGGCCATATAAAATAACTCTTCCCGACCCAATCCCATGCCATAACCATGCTGCCCATATATGAGTTTGTTGCCCCGGTTCCCACCAAGATAATGGCAGTCCTCCAAAGCTGCCTGCCCTTCAAGTTTGTTTCTTCCTCTCCTTTCTGGCCTCGCTCGGTCGGTCGTCGGTGCGGTTCATCGCCGGAGCTGCAAGATTGTCGTCGTTCCAGGGTCGACTCGGGGATTCCTTGGCGTCCAGTCTTCTCGCACGGTTTCCCGGTCGACGAGATGGGTTTATCCCGGTTCGGCAGACTCCTATAAGTGACCCCAAGCGCCCCCACCCTCTCTCTTGACGTCGAAATCGAACTCCAGGAGCTCCCAGAAAACCCTGTCAAATACAATCGACAGCTCCATCATCCCGCCCTTGGACCCCATTGTCGTACAGTACATGAATATCCACACATTTCGACCGTCCATGATCCATGTACCGTCCCAACATCGACATTCGCACCGTAGAAGCCCGTCGTAAAACTGTAGAGGTCAAGTATATCGCATCCCCCTTTCGCTCTTCATAGGAACCCAGACTCGGCCAAAACTCTGCAAAACAAAAGATCAAAGCGTTAGTACGGAATAAACTGCTGCCTCATGGCATAAGAAGTCGGCTTGAAAACGCCAAACAGGAAATAATTCGGGTGTGGGCGAAAAGAAGGACGGTACTACCTGACGATCTTTTCGTCTTCCCGCTCGCGCGGCTCAATCTGCAAGCTCTTGTCGTACATCTCGTGCACGTCTCCCGCCTGCTGCATGTTGCTGAGTATGTAATCCTGGAGCTCGGGGACCGGCTGGAGCGAGTAAGCCACATTCTGGTACTGCTGAATGTCCCGGATCACTTCGGCCGTCTTCGCTCGCTTGGCAAAGTTGATGAGGTTAGTCTTCTTGATGATGGACGGGATGCCGTCCTCGATGAAGGTCAAGTCGGTCAGGTAAACACCAAAGAAGGGAATGCAGGGGGGCTGCTGGGCGTGCAGCGCTTCTCTGTACTCGCCAAAGTTCTTGGTGCTGGCCATCAACTTGCGCATCGTCTCCAGGGTGGCGTGAATGCGCTGCGGCACTTGATCCCATGTCCGCTTGAGGCGGGCAATAGGCGCAGTACCCAAGGCGGAGATGATGGATGTGAGGGTCGAAAAGTTGTTGAGCCCACGGCACTTGTCGGCAACCGCCACAAAGTGTTTGATGACAACGACGCGTTTCCTCACGTCGGTTTGTGACAAGATCATCTCAGCCACCCAATTGGTCATTTGATTAGAATGAAGAATTAGGGCCTTCACGTTCGGAGCAGGCTCTGGCTCTCCCTCTCCAACCTTCTTCTGCCAAGTCTTGTTCAGACACTCGGTTGGCTTGATCTTGCCGTACAGACGGGACTCGATAATCGTGAGCTGGCGGGCGAACTCGGTAACGTCGATGTCGAGGAACTTGAGCTTCTTCATGTTCTTTGGCATGATGGGAGCTGGCGTGTTCTGGTTGACCGTCTGAATCATGCGGCGGGCGCCCACCTCCTTGCCATTCAGTCGCTGGTCGAGTACCGTCATCAGAGGACCCGAACCGGGTGTCTCGGTGGATTTGACCGTGTCCTTGGCAAAGTTGTAAACATCCCGCAACAGCTGCTTCGTCGCTTCCTCGCTTGGGTCCTCCATCCAGAAGTTGTCGAACCAGTTTTTCAAGATATTGACGATGCGGAAGCGGATCAGTTTTTGTTTCTGGTTTGTCCACTGGTCATACTCGGGCTGGGTCAGTCCTTCTGGCGGTTGCAGGTTGAACCTCTTCACCAAAAGCTCAAACAGCTCTCGTGCTGATGTGAACGACCGATAGGTAAGAAGAAAGGTGTTGTTGAAGTTGGCGTCGAGCTTGTCGTGCCGTGTAAGTTGCTCCACCAAGGCCATCAGGGAACCACCCTTGACCGTTGGCGGTTGGGTCTTGAGGTCCCAGGAAAGGTCGACATCGTGGTCCAGCCTCAAGAACTCGGGGGTGTCGTCGATCAACGTTTGCTGCACCGGGGTAGGGTCTTCTCCAAAGAACTTCTTAAGCTTGTCATCCTTCCGGTACGGGTTAGTCGTCATCATGGTGTCACCTTCAGTAAACGACTGCGACCCCATAGGCATTCCTGGTCTGACAGGCCGCGACAGCGACTCTGTCCGCTGATGCGGTCGCTCATATGGCATGGTCTCCATCCTTCTTGGTTGCTCTCGCGTGGGCACTTCTTCCCGCATGCGCGTCTCGGCCTGCTGCTGCAAGACAATCGAAACCTGCTCGGAAAGAAGCTGGAGCGAGAATCCGATATGGGATGAGTTCGTCTCCAGTGCTCGTGCGCAGTTTCGGACATACTCCAGCCGTTCCTCCAGAGCTTGACCCCTCACCTCTGACCACTCGTCCGCCAACGGACCAGCCACTGCTTGACAGCCCAGAATCAAATCAGAGATATTATCATATAAACTCTGCTTGTTGGTGCTAAAGTCGGCAAGTTGCGGCGTTTGGAACGTGTTGTCCAGCAGCGAGAGGTCGATTGATTCAATCATGGCAATCCAGGGCTTGAACATATCCAGTACCTTGCTGCCGGCGGCGCAAACAGCATTTCCAATCATTTCGTGCTTGTAGGGAGTGATGATCTTGTCCGTAACCAGCAGGTTCTTATCCAGCTCACGGATGCTCGAGACCACCATCCTTTTCAGCTCATCAAGCCGCTCCAGAAGCTTGCCATCCAGGAGGGCATTTGGTTCAACCAGGCCTTCCTCATCCTCGAGAAAGTTGGTGGTGATGGCGTCACGAGGACCTAGTCCATTGTTCTGCCAGCTGCCACCCGCATTCGACCCAATAACAAAGCCTGGGAACAGTCGTGGAATCTCGTCGCCTCGTTGCTGCTTTGCAACCTCGAGATAGCTAAAGACACCTAGCAGGACGCCGTCGGCTTCCTGCAGGCATTTTTGTATCGACTCGGCGTTGGGCCAGTCCGCCGCCGCGATGTGTGAAGAGATGACGAGCTTGCTAAACTTGGACATCATGTCACGAAAATGCGGGTAGAGCGCCTTGTTTGTCGAGATGATCGAGGGTTGGCCTGAGTGGTTGTCGGTCGTTCCGGAGCCTGCTGCCAAGAGAAGGCGCAAATGATCTGAGATGTCTTCAGCGCGTGCAACATACTCTGCCCTGTTGCCGCTCGTGATGGCCTCCCTGTAGCGGTCAATAGCCTTCTTCATGTTGGACACCAAACGAGGCCAGTTGAGTGCAGGTGTCGTTCCGTCGTCGAAAAAGGATCGCGGAATCGTTGCAGCAGTAGGCAGGTTGAACCCGGAGCTGGTAAACGCAGTGGCTGAAGATACCATTGGGGTCTGAGCTGAGCTGCCGTTTGGAAACGTCTCGCCGCGAGCTCTCGTCACCGGCGACTGTCCGTTCATAGAATCCATGGATGGTGCTGGAGAAATACCGTCACCCATCTGGAATCGGCGTGAAACAGGCTGGGTCACGCAAGTCAGTAACGTGTGCACAACAAAAAGTAGTCATGACATACCGCTGAGCCTCGCATGTTCATCAGAGCCTCGCCTTCTAGTTCGGATGCCGAGTTGACGTCCGATTCGTCCTCCTCGTCTCGGGTCAGCCCTCTGGCAATCATTTCGGCCGGCGGCCTTGTTCGGTCGGGAACACTGAGATTCATGCGATCTCTTGGGCCTGTCTCGGTCACCGAAGAGGGAGACTCGAGTGGCAGGTCCGCTCTGCTCTCGCCCGTCATGGTGTTGTAGTAGAATAGCCTGCCGTCTGGAGTGGCTTGAGGGATCCAGA